TCGGGAGCCACCACCTCATTTTGCCGGCAATCTCGATATTGTCTTTATCAATTATTCGTTTTTATTAAATGATTTTTTTGATTGTTTTATTTTTAAATAAACAAAAATAAACAAATAAGTAATAACTAAATTATTTCATTTGCTTTGATGAACTATAGTATTTGATGAGAAACAATAATAACCAATATATGTGACACTTAATGGTATTGTAATACTACTAAGACTGCTGCATCCATTGAAACAACCATCCCCAATTGATATCACACTTGATGGTATGTTAATACTGCTTAGACTGCTACAACCATAAAAACAATCATCATCGATAGATCTTACACTAGATGGTATTATAATACTGCTTAAACTACTGCATCCACTAAAACAATATTCACCAATCGATGTCACACTTGATGGAATGTTATTACCAAATTTCTCTCTATCATTTTGAGTGTAAGTAACATTTTTAAACTCGATGTTTCGACTTTTGTTTCTGTCAACAGTTTCAAAATCAACAATGAACCACACAATCATATAAAAGAACTCTTTTTTAAAAATAGTATTATTTTCATTTTCTTTTGTGTTGATAGAAAATACATTGCCAAATGTCTCATCTTTTTTATTCCACAAGTGAAGTGTCTCAATGTTTGGGAAGTATCTAAGTGTTTTGGAATTTGACGGAATCGGGTTGAAATGGAACTTTTCCATATTGCCACTAAACTTTTTGCATACCAACTCCAAGTTAATGAAGTCGTTGGTAGTCTTGAAATACTTCGAGACTATCATTATGTGATAACCAGAAAGTCCACGCATTCTGAAATTCCCAATTTTTGGTTTTTTAAATATTTCCAAATTTTTTATGTTAAACAATTTTTTAAAATAATTAAAAATTATTTTTTTTAAATTTAAAAAAAATATTTTCAAAATAATATTTTGAATTAGTAAATAAAAAATATATTAAAACACATTAATTGATGTTATTAATCATTTACAACAATTCACCACAACTGTTATAAATTGTTGTTGTATTGTAAAAAAAATAATTTGATATAACCAATGTTAAATATTAAAAATATTATTAAAATTTCAATTGATAAATTATTGTAATACAATTAAAACAAGGCCAAATCGTTTTATAACAAAGACCCGTGAAATAAATGCACGAGTATAAGTGAATTTGTATGTTAAATATTAACTTTGTTAAAATAAACAAAAATTATTTTTTTGATAACAAAAATATAAATAATATCAACAATTACTTATGAAAATGGTTGATTAGCATAAAAATATTTTATTTAGACAATTTGAAACAATACAATAACAAATTGATTTTATTAACAATAATTTTATTGTTAAACATAATTAACTTTTGATTAAATATTGTGTAAAAAATGTAATTCATACAAATTCTTTAAGCAAAAAATATGTAAAATAATCAATATAAATCATAACTCAAAACTTACCATAATGAATAAACACTTGAACACCTGCTAATAAGCATAACTACTTGAACACCTGCTTATGAGTGTAACCATTTTGTCAGTATACTCTTTTGTTGTTCAATATGAATATTTTAAATTTTATTTTTTATTTTTTCTTAAAATTATAG